TTTTTTTTGTAAATTTCCCTTTTTGTATATTGGAGAGATATTAATAATAATTAGCTTTTAGATGAAATGTAACGTCATATTTGATTATTTTAAAACTTTGTTCGTTCATTACAAAGAGTTCAACAGCAAAGACAGAATCACAGATTCACATCAGCAAAAGATGTTTTTGAATTGCGCCAATAAATATGTACACTGAATGCCTGTTTTTAGACTGTATAGATTTTTACAAGAAACTTAGAAAAGGCAAACAGTAAGAGTAGAAGAAAAATATAGCAAAAAAAAAAAAAAGATTTTATATAAATAGTAGAAAAAAAAAATTATCCGCCTAAATTATTGAAGTTTAAAAATTGGATAAAACAAAGGAATACGAAATAATTGAAGATTAAAAAAGAAAAAAACCGATTGAAAAGTGATAGTTGGAATTTTTGTGAAAGAAAATACTGATTGGTAATCAATCAATCTTTACAATATCACAATGTATCATCAACATCATCATCATCGTCATCAACATCAACATCATCATCATCATCGTCGTCATCATCCAACAGCAACAGCAACAGCAACAGCAGTAGCTGCAAAACAAGCATCATCGACACTACCAGCAGCACTATTACCATTGAGCAGCATCGTCAGCAACAATATCACCCTCACCATCATCACCATCACCATCATCATCATCATCTTCATCGTCATCGTCTCCATCATCAGTATCATCCAACAACATTAGCAATATTTGAACAGTATTAGCTGTATCATTAAAAATCAATAAATATTATACAGCAGCATTTTGTTGAATGTAATGCTGTATATTGTTATAGGCAGTTTCAAAAACGAAATTTTTCTTTTTATAACTAAAATAAACAAGTGAATAGAAGAATAAAATGTATTATTGATACAGTTGTTTGTCTCCAAAATTTCAAAAACTGAAATTATGAACAAACATCTAGAGCAGTAGCAGTAGCAATAGCAACTAAATGGTAGCCAACTGATGAAAAAACCTTAACCAAACATGGACAGTAGCAGTAGCAGAAGCAGTAGCAGCAGCAGTAGCAGTAGCGAATCAGTGTGAAATGCCAACAAAACTATCATCAACACAGTAACAATGGCAACAGAGAGAGAGAGAGAGAGAGAGAGA